ATGATGTCCTCTTGTTTAAGAGTCATCAAGGGCCATAGCGTGGAAAAGCTTGTTAATTTTTAAGGAAGTAAGTCTTGGGCATCTGGCACTAAAATGTCAGCACAACAACTCAGAGGAAAAACAACCTGCTGGTTTCTTAAGCACTGAGTTATTCCAGCAAATTGGTGTTCAGTTCCTGATGGTCTTAAGGCTGGTTACATAAAATAATTGGTTATACAGCCTTAGTGTGCTTAATTTCCCACTGCTCTGCTCTGTTTGCATCTGAGTCAGTGAGTTAAGGATATTGCTCTCCTACCCCCACCTGCATTTCAACTGTTTAATTTGGAAATGTCAGTAAAGAAAACTGGAGGTTATGGAAATCTTGACTTCTCCAGCTCCACCAAAACCCTTGTTTGTTCCTTCCCCGGAGTCTGTTAATGTCTTCTGCCGCAAGATGGCAGTCACGGACTGTGTTTTAACCTCTTTTTTCCCCGTGATTGTTCTCATGGTGGAAATACTGATTGTTAATCCACCCACCCCACCCCACTCCCCCGCTTTGTTTGTTACTTTTCTTTCTTTTTTTTTTTTTTTCTTTGTCTCCTAAAGCAGGGGTAAAAGTCTGTGTTAGGCATCCCTGTCTCTGTACACATAAAATATGTGCAAATTTTCAGATAGTGAATTCAGATAAAAATTCAAATACTTAATAGAAGAAATATCATTGCAGTGGAGGTACATCTATGTCTGTGAACTGGCTCGTAGTTTTCTTTGCCCTCAGCAGTGAGACGTGAACATTTCCACCACTGTCATAATCTCATCTGGATCCTGTCTGTTTATACTATTCCTGCCTTAAAGTTGTGCATATTGCATGTTTGTATAAATACAAAAAACCCCTCATCTTTCCTAAGAGTTTTGGCTTGATGCCACCTAGAAGAGGAATTTGTGAAGACTTTTATACACACCAGATTATCTGAAAGTATTTTTAGCTGCTTTGCATGTCTTTTCTGACTGTATATTCTTGGATCAAGCCACACGGGTATTTAAATGCTTAGGACAGAGCAGTGAGGTTTGTTTTGCAACAGAGGTGGTTCTGTGCTGTATCAAGACAGTACTCTGCTAGCCAATAACATCCTCAGTAATGGCTGATAACAGCTACCCAGCATTAAAAAGTGCAAGAAATCCTACAGTGCCCATGCAATATAGCAATCTAGGACAGTGCTGTCTCAATCCTGTAGCTGAAGACTGGTATTTACAGTTTATCCTGATATTTCTCTTTTTTTTTTTTTTGTTTTCTCCTGCCTACCCCCGTGACCAAATGTTCTCGTTATTAAGTTTCCATCACTTTGTTCAGTGGTTTCGTACCTTCTCATCCTCACATGGTGGCAGTGAGTCTCACAGTGCAACTGCATATAACACAAAACAAAATGCTTTTTAAACGTTTCTGCCTTTCTGTTCGATTGTGTCTTTTTTTTTTTTTTTTAAACTAGAAATGGCAGACTGTCTTTTTCATCCATTCTTTTTGTGCACCTTTGTCACATCCTCCTCCTATTCTTGTCCTCAGTGAGATTAGTGAAGTGAAATGGATAGATTTCTTGTTTTTAATGAAATGATTAGTGTATTCTGACACTCAGCTGATAAGAAACACAAAGACTCTCCTCTGGCTATTTGCTTTCATAGGAAGGACTTTCATTCCTTCCTCACTTTGTCCTCTGAGGGAGACCATAGCAGTAATTTACCACAAGCAGCATTTTTCAGTGCCTGGTTCTTAGACCCTCTGATTGCAAGAAGCATTTGCAAAGGGTAACACTAGTACAGTGAGTGACTTGCTTGTCTTAAATCTTTTCGGTGTCTGAGTCCAGTGACTCTCAGGCTGATAACTGAATAATTCCAGGGATTATGAGTTTGCAGTAATTCCTTGAGAGGGATTTATGATTTGGTACTTCCGGTTTAGCTTTTGTCTCCCTTTTTGTGGGGAAGTAATGCTGTCCAAAGTGGTTGGGTGTACCTTGTCAGATGGGCACCAGCTCTTTGACCTGGTGATTAGCTCTGGCATCTGACATGCTTTCTGTCTTGATGTACATAAAAGTTGTTGTCGTTGTCCTGAGCTGGGTCAGGCCATGTGCTCACAGGTGGCAGCAGTAGAATTAGCTTTCTCCATGGTGTGTCTTTAATGGGGAGAGCTTTGGAGATGCTTGAAGTGCCTCTAGGAGCCAAGATGTGTGTTTTGAGTGTTTAGCACCCATCTGCATCAGAAATAACAACCTTTCCTTGCTGCATGTCCCTGCTACCTTAGTGGGTAGTATCAGATACTGCAATAAGAGCCAATGCTTTAAATAAAGGACAGGTGGTATGTTAATGCGGGATTGCGTCCACACTGCTTAGCTGGGGGTGGCTGTTAGCGTCAGTGTTGCCCTTCTGTTTCAAGGGTTTGCTGACTTGACTCTGTCCCAGATCCATCACTTTCAAATTCTTTAATTAAAAAGGTTAAAGAGAGAAGAAACAGCAGGTGGAGAATCCTCATTTATCTGATTGGGAGTGTGTTGCTGCTTCTTCGTGCTTAGTTCAGATGAATCCCGACAGCCCAAAATGAACCCATTCTCCAGATGCTGCCTTTACTAATAAGTTATTTCTTGGCAGCCTGGTCACCTCCAAGTTAGGTGTTGTACAGAATACAGCTCAAATCCTTTCTAGCAGAAAAGTCCTCTTGCAAACTGGTATGGAGAAAAGCATAGAATCCAGAATGGCTTGGGTTGGAAGAGACCTTCAAGACCTTCTAGTTCCAACCCCCCGCGAACACCTTCCACTAGAGCAGGTTGCTCCAGGCCCCATCCAACCTGGCCTTGAACACTTCCAGGAATGGGGTAGCCACAGCTTCTCTGGGCAACTTGTGCCAGGGCCTCACACCCTCACAGGGAAGAGCTTCTTTCTAAGATCTCATCTAGATCTCCCCTCTGTCAGTTTAAAGCCATTCCCCTTGTCCTGTCCCTACCTGCCCTTGTCGGCCCCTTTAGCCACTGGAACCTGCTCTGAGGTCCCCCTGGGAGCCTTCTCCATACAGAGGAGGGGGAGGGAGGATTAGGGGGAGAGAAAAAAGCAGGGATCAGCCAATTTTATATTAGTACTGGTCCTCCCCATTGGTACAGGAGATGGCAGCCTGAATATTGGAATTTCTTTTGCAGCCACAGGACTCCTGGGAGGAGTGGTGCAGCCCAGCTCTCCGGTAGGAGGCAGAGAAGGGATGGACAGTGACCACGTCCAGCTGCAAAAGCAAGAGAAGATCTCTCAGGAAGAAGCAAAAGAGCTTAAACAGGTATAAATTGACTTAACTTTGACAAGAATTGCTTCACTCCGTCTGCTTCCATTATAAGATACTTTTTCATCATCAGAAACATAGTCATTGTCCTTAACAGAGTATTCCTCAGAAAATTCCTGAAATTAGATGGGCATATCTTAAAAATCAGTTAATCAAGCCTGTGATTAAAATACACTGATAACTGTATAGTTTTATTTTGTTTTGGGCTTTTTTACTTATTTTGAACAAATCAAGGATTATCATCAAAATATATGGATGGAATTATAACTCAAGCGAAATCCTTAACTGTAACCTGTTTTTTCTGAAGATTAATCATCTTAACAATTAAATAATTTTCAGCTCTTTTGTGTTTTCCCTATGCCTTCTTACTCTTTTTAGTAAGGAGTAGCAGCTCTATTTCAGAAACATCCACAGAACTGAATGTAGTGTTTTATAAACACACTGAACTTGTAGTTGGGAAATAAGTATGCTGTCCAGCAAATTAATAAAGGGGAAATTTTACTGGAAAAAGCATTTTAAAGTAATCCAGTCTGATATTGTTCCTCTAAATGGCTCTTCAAGGAACTTCTCTCATAACTGATGTTCAGAACTCTTAGTGAAGAATTGCTCTTTGTAGTAGGTGTTTGATCTGAAACAGTGAACAAGCTGGTAAAGCAAAGGAGAATGGTTTGAGTGGTTTTTCCATTAAAATAGGTTTACTGGTGGTGATCACAGCCACATCAGAAGATGTGACTGAAGATTAAACTTTATTATTATTTATTTTCTCCCCTGTAGCATTTTATTCTTTTTGATATTCCAGCTGTATCTTGATGATAGCATCATGTGAAGTCTGTTCTAATTCCCTTGTCTCTCAGCCAAGCCTGCAGGCTTCCAGCCCCCTTCTTGTATTTTATAGTTGGGAATTAGAATATATCAACTTCTGTTAGCTTGAGTGCATTTGAGAGTCACAAGCACTTAGTAGGGTCTTGAGTGGCTAAAAATAAAAACTTACTGCATGAAAAATCTATTTATTAACTAAAAAACAGTTGAGTAAGTGAGAGTTTAACCTTTGCAGAAGGTTAATTTCAGAAATTTCTGGAACTCTCTGTGCTGGATTGTAGACTTAGTGTTAAATGTCCAGTGTGACTTAAAACCAAACACTTTCAAGATGAACTAGAGCTCAAAAGACAATTCTTGTATTGATTTATACCCCACCAAACCAAGAATTTTTAAGCCAGTTGATTATTTGGGGTGAGTTTGTGGGGGAGTGTGTGTGAGGAGAGGATCTGAATTCCAAACTTAGAGGCCGTGAATTGGCCCGATTTTTCTCCAGTAATTGCTGAGCACCTGTTCCCTGAGAGCCAGGCCTCTTTAATAATCATTCCAGTCATTAATAATTTTAAGGTACATGCTTTAATTCCTATAGAACTCCTGTTCCTTTTCATTACTAGGAGTCACTGCATAGATACACAGCCTTAGACCATAACTTGCTTCTGTAACCAAAATATAGTCAAGATCTTTTGACTGAAATTTCTTACTTGGACTTTTTCAAGACAAACCTGACTACTCATCATTTAGTGATTCTCCCTTCTCATCTTTTAAAGAGCTTATCTCCATGATCTGTTATTTTATCAAATAACAGATAAAAAAAATACTGCTTTTTCTGAAGCAGTGTTGACCTTTGGAAGATTTTAAGGGAGAATATTTCTCGGTAGTAGTTGTACAAATAGCAGCAATCTGTTCTTCATGGATGCATGTGCTTTTTATGGCTGTTATGTATTCAGTAGGGCCAGTTGTTCCTTCCTTAAATGTCAGCTTTTCAGCACTATAGTTCTGATTTGTAGCCAGACCCAAAAAAGCCAAATACACTGTGAAGGGTTGTTGGTCATGTATTACTAGTGAAGACACATTTCGATACACCTTGCAAAAAAGTCTCTTAAGGAATTGCTTCCCCTGCTCATTACTTGTGATGTGAGTAACTCCAGGAGAACTTTTGAAGCTGGAAAAGAAGAATTTGTGATGAGCAGATATAGTTGTCACTCTTTTTCTGTCCTCAAAAACAAAGTACTTCACTAATAACAATAGATGTTTTGCAGCAGGA